TGCGTAGATGACGCAGGGACGTGACTGATGAAGATGGGGGAGATGTCGCAAGTAGGAATGTTAGCCGACGTTCATGCGTAGTTATGTATCACGTGACAATACTGATATTACGGTGAAGCAGACCACTTCTCGGATGTTGTTCAGTTTCTCCTCCACTTGATGCTTGAATGCTCCAATGCCAGCGTTTATCACCTCCACAGCTGCGCAAGCTACACGAGAAAAAAGGGTCTGACTTTGTCACCGCCAATCCCCGAGCCAATTGTCAGGCCATTCTGAGCCAAAACGCTCTCCACCTTTTCAAACAAATAATTTCAACCTTGCCGTTGTCGGCCCTTCGGATCGTTGAGATGCCATTTCACGCCACTCCTTGTATCCCTTATGTAGCGAACTCTTGACGACCTAGATACTCCCTCCTCGAACCTAGATACCATCCGAGCCTCGACACATTCCCTTCAAACTCGTCATCCGCCTCGTTGGTAAACGGCACCAACTCCTCGGCCGGTTTGCAGACCAGACCTGGTGTTGAATAGCCGACGCGACTGACTTTGTCTCGCACCCCTCACCATGGACATCGTTCTGGAAATCGTTGACACTCTCCTCCTCGATCGTGTCTATGCCACACTATTACCTGCCAGTCCATCGTCCTACCTTCAACAGAAGTTCAACAATGCCACAACTTCTACGTTCTCGAGTTTGCGGGAAAGCGCGACTGCTGCACCTCAATATACATACATCTATGAACCCGCTTCGCGGTTTGTCAGTTTGGACCCGACGGAATGGACCTACAGAAGCTCATGGCCTCGCGACAACATCTTCAGACAAGGGATTAGCCTGTTCTTCATAGTTTGGTGAGTCCAGGATGGCAGCATTACTGGCGACACATGTCTTTCTACTAACACCTACTGTTCTAGGTTTTTTGGGCTTATCCTCTACTTTCTCTGCGCCTCGCTTTCGTACTTCTTTGTCTTTGACAAAGCGACCTTTAAACATCCCAAATACTTGAAGAATCAGGTCCGCATGGAGATCGCCCAAGCCAATCGCGCCATGCCGCTCATGTCCCTGTTAACCGCAGCCTGCATGCTTGCTGAAGTGCGAGGCTACTCTAAACTCTACGATCTTCCTAGCGATGCTCCTTTTGGATGGTACAACGTCCTCCAGTTCCCCTTCTTCGTCCTCTTCACCGATTTCGGCATCTACTGGATTCATCGAGGGCTGCACCATCCGCTGGTCTACAAAACTCTCCACAAGCCGCACCACAAATGGATTGTCCCTACGCCTTACGCTTCGCACGCTTTCCATCCTCTCGATGGCTTCGCCCAATCCATCCCGTACCACGTTTACCCCTTTCTGTTCCCGTTGCAGAAATTCGCCTACATCGCCCTCTTCGTCTTCATCAACATTTGGACCATCTTCATCCACGACGGCGAATACTACTCCAATTCTCCCTTGATCAACGGCGCTGCGTGCCATACCATGCATCATCTTACGTTTAAGGTCAATTTCGGGCAGTTCACCACGCTGTGGGATCGACTAGGGGGTAGCTATCGGAAGCCAGATGAAGAGTTGTTTAGGCAGGAGACCAAGATGGGGAAGCAGCAGTGGGAAAAGCAGAGTCGAGAGATGGAAAATATCGTAAAGGAAGTTGAGGGGAGCGATGACCGGAGTTATTTGGCCGATGATGTTAAAAAGATTCAGTGAGCGTCAATGGGTTTTCCGGCCAGACAGACTGGTTTGAGGGATTCGGCGTGCAGCTCAGCAAACAATTTGCCCCTGGATACCGTGCGGTGGTGGATGTTATGGGCCATGGATTCAATTCAGATATTGCATCCTATCTTGACCTAGATGGGCGTCCGCAAAAGCAAGCAAACGGCAGTTAATATAGTCATTAATGGACAAACTCTCCTCGCTCTGTATATAGTACATAGACTTTACCCCCTGTGGGGAGGCTGAACTCTGAAAAAATACAACTAAAACACCTCGACCCATACCGTAGATGGATGCACTTTTGGAAGAGTGTCTCGCTCTATGAAAAGAGGCCGCTCGTGAGCGAAAGTGACGTTAACATGACAATGGTCTAGAGGTTGAGCAATGTGGGTGCTTCTCGCATTATTTTATACATATACAAGTAGAAAGACATAAGTCTGTAAAGACCGCCAATAACGCGGAATAGATCATAAACTACCTATGTGTGCTATGGTACCTCGTACTTGCGAGTGTCTCTGATTAGGTGTAGGGGACTAAAGTCGTAGTTCGCCCAGTCTAGAGATTCTCTCACGGGGGAAGAGCGCTGCAGGTTTCCGACACACGAGACCGCTTTCGAGTCACGCCAATGCCGATTCAATTAATGCTGCATCTCGTCATTCTGTTCCGATAGCAAGAGACACAATGAGAGAAGACAGTAGGTGTACCATGCAAAAGGGCTCACACTGGAAGGTGATCTCGGATATGGAGCATGGGTCATATGCATCTGAAAACAATGGTCCCATGCACGAATGCAATGAAAAACTTAATTGTCCAGAGGTACCTCCTCCACAAATCCAGCGTGTACCTCACTCTTACTCATTACAACCTTCCTATTCAACGGCAACCCCGGACCCAAGCACAACGCACAGCCTTCCCCCACGGCACTATGAGAAGGACACGAACTTTGGATCTTTCGGGATGCCGTCCTCTCCGATGCCATTTTTCTTGAACCGCTGTTCCATGTAAACCCTTCTGGCTTCATCAAAATTGATGCCCCGGATCTTCATCAGCCTCTGGATCTCTCGCTTCGCCCTCTGGTCCAGTCCGCCCCGGCTGTCGCCTTCCATTATGTTGGAACTGAGGTCAAAGTCCGCGGAGGTGAACCCTGATTCGACATCGCCCATGAACGTGGTCGGGACCCGGCTGTACGTGTAGGGGTTTAGTCGGGAAAGCAGGTCTTGCACAGGGATCGGCAGGTACGGTGTCCAGCGACTGCGCGTGAAGTATAGAACTGGAGCGGCAGGGATTAGTAAAGATTCCACCAGACTTGTAGGGTTCGCGGTGTGTAGTAGGCCAACGTACTTGTTGAGAGAGCGATGGAGAAGAAGAGAATCGAGTACAGGATGTAGGCCATGATCGCGCCACTCCTCTCTTTTCAGATGTCGCCTGATGTCGCGCGGGGTTTCTGTACGGTTTGACTTGAGGTCACAAGACGAGTGCGAGGCTTCGTGTTGCAATGATCACAGCCTGGTGGCCATGATGAGGCTTTGCGCGAAGTCGCTACTTGCGTCAAGAGCCGTCCGAACCTGGACAGTGGTGACAATCAGAGACGAGGCATTTGGTGATGGGCCTTGGGTCTTGGGGCTCGTTGTCGTCAGCCTGCCGCGGCAGGGGTCGGACGAGCTCGGAAGTCGCATCGCAGCCGAACGCTCCGCCGTAGCATAAGGTGCCAAGCCGGAGAATACCAACAGCCAATCATGTTTCTGCGCACAGAAAGGCCATTGCCTTTAGATACAAATCAACCCAAAAAGTTCGAGCCCCCGTCCATGTTGTTTGCGAAAGCTCGACAATCCGTTACCAGTTTTACCGCCGTCAACAATGTCTGAACGTCCAAACGTATCCGGCGACCTCATCTGGGAGGTTGTCCGTAAGTCCACACCAGCGAGATCAATTCTCTAGTCCCAGGGTTATACTAATACGAACACAACCCGCAGGAAACAACAATGCGTTCCTGGTCAAGAGGAAGTCTGGTGGTGGTGTTCAGTTCTCCCGAGACCCCTTCAACGTCGTCAACAAGCACTCGAGAAAACACGCCGGCTTCGTGAACGACAAGGCCGTTTCGATCCAACCCAATGAGAAGGGAGGTGTCACGTTGGTGACCAAGAAGTCCGGATCGGCCAACAAGCCTGCATCAAACTACAACACCCACGCCTTTGGCAAGACCACCTCGAACAGAAAGTGAGTCTTGGGCGGGCGCAAATGACATGGCCACAAAGCAAGCTTGGTAGCTAACTTGCCCTACAGGATCTACAAGAGCGTGGCAGACGCAGTCGGCAAGCGATCATACCGTGGCGACTTGAACAAAGACGCTGTTTCCCGTGCCAGTGCCATCAAAAACTCGCAGCGACCGAAGAAGGACACTCCGGAGAAGAAGCCCCGTGGGGTCAAGGCGCGAAAGACAGAGGCATAAAGCGTTGTTGCAGAAGGTGGTTGACAAAATTTTTGCTGAGCATTTCGATACTGGAAGCACAGGCTTGTGCCATCCCCCGTATGTTGAGGGCAAGATCCGATGAGCCTGGATCTATGATCACCATCCGAGACATTTCTTCGACGGTGTGTCATTTGAGAATCGGTGGGTGAGATCTTTGTGTGTTCTGGTAATGCAGAACGGGGTTATTGCTCCCAAAAAATGACAAGCTGGAACTGGGATTACATCTGCATCCGAGGGGGTTCAAGGGATTAACATCATTGATGACAAGAGCATTATTGCAGCACAGTGGTACATCCGTAGCGCCCAACGAATGATTTGTGCCCTGACCCAAGCCAGAACAAGACGGTCGCAGCCTGATCCGAGCAATTTTCGTAGAGTACGAGTAGCAGCCTTGCCTGTCTAGTATTTTGATTAAAACCACCGTCCAGGATGGCGAAAAGAGGGCCCAACGTCCCCCAAAGGACGCGAAATGTCGGAGCTGCGGATTGACGCGGGGCAACTGCAAGCCAGTCTTTGTCGCCGCTTGAAACTAATATCTGGTCTTGGCGAGGTCGCAAGAGGCTTCCCCTCGCTATTCTGTCCCGCGTCACTGCCCTTCTTGCCCGGCTTCCTCAAAAGAAAGTCTGACCGCCCCAACTATTTCTCAAAAACCCTCTCAGTCTTCTTTGCAAACACCAGTTCTCAGAAACCCCCAAGTACCTCGAACATATCCCTCTCATTAATTGTCAAAGTCTCTCCAGGTGAGTACGAAGCATCAGTCTGAAGAACGAGGTGGAATCCTAAACTGTCGTCACAGTTCAATCCTTCCCCCCACCAAACTCTCAACATGGTCAAAGCTGTCGTTCTCGGTGCCTCTGGCGGCATTGGTCAGGTATGCATTTCTCTTGATTTGGCTACAGTAATTTGAGTCGAGTCTAACTTGTTGGCAGCCATTGTCTCTTCTCTGCAAGATCTCTCCCGTCATTGACGAACTCGCACTCTTCGATGTCGTCAATACCCCCGGTGTTGCAGCCGATCTGTCACACATTTCTTCTGTCGCTGTACGTCTGCTGGAATCCTCCTGACCCATACTCACAACACCACGAGTCTAACATACACAGACCATTGGAGGCTATGTCGCGGCCCCAGGTGACTTCAAAGGAGAGAAACCAGAGACAGAAGAAGCAAAAAAGACGGCTTTGACTGGTGCAGATATTGTCATCATACCCGCCGGTGTCCCTCGTATGTACTCTGTTGAGCTTGAATATTTGCTGGGGCTGACGGCGGTTCTCAGGCAAGCCTGGCATGACTCGAGACGACTTGTTCAAGATCAACGCAGGAATTGTCAAAGGCCTTATTGAAGCGTGCGCCAAATACTGCCCCAAGGCATACATCTGCGTCATCTCAAACCCTGTCAACTCCACCGTCCCAATTGCCGCTGAGGTTCTCAAGGCAGCTGGTGTCTTTGATCCCCGGAAACTGTTCGGTGTTACCACCCTCGATGTCGTCCGTGCTCAGACCTTTGTGGGAGAGATCATTGGCGAGAAAGACCCAAGAAAGTTGACCATCCCTGTTGTTGGAGGTCACTCTGGCAACACCATTGTGCCGCTGTTCAGCCAAGCTAAGCCTCCTGTCAACATTCCATCAGACAAGCTAGACGCTTTGGTGCACCGTGTCCAATTCGGTGGTGACGAGGTTGTCAAGGCCAAGGATGGCGCTGGTTCCGCAACACTCTCCATGGCATACGCCGGTTTCAGATTCGCCGAGGCCCTTATCAAGGCATCCAAGGGTGAAAAGGGTATCATTGAGCCAACATTCGTCTATCTCCCTGGTGTCCCCGGTGGTGATGCTATTGCCAAGGCAACTGGCTGTGAATTTTTCTCCGTTCCTGTTGAACTCGGGGTAAGTCTCTTTGCCCAGCAGCTGCGATTCCTCTTCTCCTTGCTGCGTGCTAACTCTTGTAATAGCCCCACGGCGCAGAGAAGGCCATCGACATCCTGGGAAGCGCCAACGACTACGAGAAGAAGCACCTTGAAGAAGCGATCAAGGGGCTCAAGACCAACATTGAGACGGGTATCAGTTTCGTGAAGGACCCACCCAAGTAGGCCTCGTCCTTGTCTTTCTTTGTAACATTGCCTGACCGTTTTGCAGGTAGGATGTGAGCGACTTCTAATCCCCCAGAACGAGCCTGCCTGCCACGCAATCGTGCACCTGTGCACTCGTTCGGTTGCTGGACATTGTTGCAAGCGCAAAAAGTGAGCCGGCCACGGAGACTGACATGGAGCTATTGGAGCAGGTTGTGAAAAGCATGACATGACATGAAATAAAGACCTCCCTTCGTCAATGCAAAGACGGTCATCATCGCCATAGCATAGCTTTTTTGGGCTGAGTATGTCTCTTTTTTGCAGCGTGGAGATCGCGTAGACAAAAATTATTTGTCCTACTCTTCACGCTTTGTACAGCCACTTCTCTTGTGTTTGCAGATTGTGAATCCGTCTGTCATTTTTGGCACCAGTATTGGGCGGCTCTTTGCAGGGCATACTCATGTCCTACGCAGGCTGAGAATCCTCTGTCAATTCTTGTCAACGTATACCATGCTCTTTTCCTGCTCATGGCCTTATTTGAGGCTGCACCGTCGTAATCTGGAACACTGCACCAGGCAATTCTATCGTCTCGGCCTGTACAGTGGCTTTGATCCCCAAACTGCTCAGGACACCACGGATAATGCCGCAGGGGAAAAAAAGGTGGGGTTTGGCTCGTTGCAAGGCTTCGGCGTGGTTCGCCATGGACATGCGTGTGAGAGGACGGAATTTGTTGTCTGTAAGAACAAAGACGCCCTGTGTGAACATTGTCAGCATCTCACTTTCAATGTGGCCTTTTTTTTGGGACCCAAATCTTGGGCGCGTTGGCTAGATCGACAGCTCAACAACGGACCACCCAGAATCTCGTAGGCTGTGCTGCTCGTCGCCTAGACTCTTGACAATGTAAAAGGGGGCAGAAGTGCCAAACGTACCCGATGATTCGTCTTCAAGTTGTCGACCTGCTTCCTCCACACCACGCCCCAGATGTCCTTGCAGAGGAACTTGATCACGTCGAGGTGGTGGTCGTTGACGTTTCCCACGTTAGCCCCGTTCAGCCCGGCCTGGTTGAAGCGCGGCCGGTCGCGCGAGATGCGTTCACTGAGACCCTCCCCGACACGGAAGCCCAGCCGCTCGAGGCGCACGTAGATGGAATCGGCGAAGATGGTGGTCGCAGGGAGGCCGTCCGCGGCGAGCAGCGCGGTGTTTGAGGGCTGCGAGGACGCAGGGACCGTGTTGGCGCCCGTGACGGTGATACTGGGCGTCGAGGTCGACGAGGCCGTGTTGGACGTTGTGGTCGTCGTCGTGCTACCGCTGGTAGTATTGCCCGGGGCCGCCGGCGGGCCCTTTGACGTCCGTTTCGTGGTCGTTGAGCTCGCGGGGGAGGGTGTGGGACGGTCGAGAGACGCCTCGTAGGCCCGCGCCATGCGCTCGGCCAGCGGGACCAGTTCGATCAGCAGGAGGTCGAAGCAGGACATGTTGACGAGCCGCGAGTCAGCGTCGAAGGGCGCATCGCCGGGAGGAGGTGCGGCCATCGCTCTCTATAAGCTCAAGGGTGTGTCACTTGTTTTTGTTTTTCCCCCCCCAAGTATTCAATCCCGCGGAGGAGGGCTTGTTGGTATTATCGGCGCAATATGGAGTTTGGGGGAATGTTTGGTTCGATGGGCTCTCATAGCTCGGGGGCGTTGGGTCTATTGGGCGAATATTAACAGGACATACAGATTACCGAAAAGGTAGTATGGGCGTTTTTCGTCGTCAAGCCTTGCATCGTGCCTGTGGGAAGGTGAATGAACAAACAGGTCCAAAAGTTCGCCAGGAACATCAGATTGTCCCCGTCTATTGATTTGACGACATCACGTGATGTCCGTCTGGGCTGCAAGGCTGAGATATAGCAGCCATACAATCAGGTCCACTCGGTACTTCGTATGTCCAACTATTATCGGCACATCTCAGCCACTCTTGTTATATCCGGAAACGAATCACACACCATCGCAGACCTATATGTCTGACCCAAGTCACAGTATTAATTTACAAGTAGTATATCCCCGGTACCATCGCCGAGTCTCTGATTCCACATCGCCAGCGATGGGGATGCAGTCATAACCACATCCGCCTCCATTGTCAAACGCACATGTACACATCAACACCCCACATAATTATTGTACAATCAGTGATAGTATATCGTTTTCTGATGGTGCAGAGTACATTGAGCCCGGAATCTTTGAATGATGTCCCTCCTGCAGAAATCTATTGCGCCATGACATCCACATATCTTCCCGACTTGGGTCCCTTCTTACCAGCCTTGGCAGACTTTCGTCCTGTAGCTGGACCGATTAGGTCGTCAATGCTGCTAGCACTGCTCATTGCAGTGGCAGGACGTGGTGGAGGAGCAAGGCCGGGAGTTGTAGGGTGGCCGATGGGAGGAGTGCTAGCGGCACTTGGAGGACCAGAAACTCCAGCCTGTGACAAGGGTCTGGCCAATCCTCCAGCTCCTTCGGCAGGAGTACCAGCGCGACTTCCTGGTGCCGATGGCGGTCCTATACCGAGACCTGGAATATTCGGATGCGAGGTAGGAGGTGTAGAAGACATAGGTGGTCTCGGAGGCCCTGGAGCGCTCATAGGAGGGGCGGGAGTACCACCCATTCTGGGTGGGGGAGGGGTTTCTGTCTTCTTCGCTGCATCCGGGTTGTCAGGATTCACCCATTTCCCAAGTTCCTTGTCGTAGTACAGCTTCATCTTCGATTCACCTAGATTGGCTCTGTAGACCTTTTGATCGGCGCCCTTGGGTGGACCAGCATCCAAGCCTTCGGTCTTCTTTCCTCCCAGCCAGCCACCAAACCACGACGAGGATCTTTTCGATTCTTTCTTTTCTTTTTCTCGAGCAGCGTCTGCTTCCGCGGCAGCACGGAAGGCGGCTTCTGCTGCTGCGTCGTTTGCACGTTTACGCGCAGTCTCATCCTCTACTGATGAACCCGGCTCGAAATCCTGCCGTTGCGATGCCCGAGGGAAGTCGTCATCGTCATCGTCCATGAACGATTTCTTCTTCGATTTTACCTCATTGGGTGGTTCCTCTGGTGAGTCGGGCTCTGGAACGTAGGGAACATAGCCGCCGCCGGTAGGCGGCTCGTAGCCAAAAGATTGTGCCGGGGCTTCGACGCCCATGCCGAAATCATCATTTCTTTGAGTTACTTCAGATTCTCCAGCCTGTGGAGGTTCGTAGCCAAAGTAAGCCGCGGGTTCTTCGGGGATCTGGGATGTAACAGCCGGCTCAGGAGTGTATCCATATGATTGTTGGATGACATCTTCAGCGGGCGGAGTTGGCGCATAACTATTGGGACGCATGGGAGCTGTGTTCGCAGGTGCTGATTGGGCACTGTTATTCGGCATATACGAAGATCGTGGAGGGCTCTGCGGGAAAGAAGTCGGGGGTGACGCTGTGGCAAACGCTTGATAAGGATTCGCAGCAGGCGGTACTTGGACATGCTGGAACATGTTCATTGACTCGAATTGGTGATTGTGCTGGGAATGGGAAGTCGATGGAGGTGACCTTTGAGAGTCTAGAGATGGACGTCCACGCGTAATTTCTGCGGAGGATCGAGCGGATTGCATGCCGGTCGGCGCATATCTGGACCCAGCAACTGTTGTTGGAACTGTAGGAACCGATTGTGGGTAAGATCCATACAGTTCCGACTGAGATGCAGTTCTGCTGATCGAAGGGGTGCCAGCGACGTGCGCAAATGGTCCAGCGTCGATTGCCTCTTTTCCTGAACCTTTGGATTCGGCGTCACTATCATCCCCTGCAACAAAACTGCTGAACTTGTTCCACATAGAGCCCCCAACCTTCTCCAGACTGGGTTTCCCAATCCAAGATGACGATCCTTGGATTGGCGTCTGTTTGAGTCGGTTCGACAAATCTTCAAGCTCAGACAGGAAGAGCGGATGATAGTATGCTGACATCTTCGTGCTCGATTTGAATGTGGATGCGATGGCGTCACAATAGTATTGTGCCTCTGACCTCAGTCCTGATTCCGCCATGATTGCTGCTCGCTGTAACTTGAAAACAGAAAGATGTGGCATGAAGGACAGAGATGCCCCTGTTGCTAGAATGCTAGTCGCAAACTCGTAGATTTCGGTGAGCAGGATAGCATCCTGGTCGCGATTAAAGTCGAATGGCTGAGCTTTGTGGTTAGAGCCGAGCAGGACGATAGCAGCATGTTCCTCCTCGAGACCGCCGAAAAGAAGTGGTCTCTGGGTGTTCCTGGAGAAGAGATAGCATATATGCGCTGCTTCGATGCGATTGTAATCCTCGAGTAATCTTCCAAGGACTGCCAGGGCTTGGTGGTCCCCTTGACATCGATTGTTCAATACGAGACTCAGAGTTTCTTTCCAACGATTTAGGCCATCCAGGGCATTCTTGGCCGGACCACCCGTATCAACTTTACTCACCATTTGGAGCCCAGCACGAGCAGACGGTGGAACGAGTTCGTCAATGCTCTCTTCAGCATTGCCTCCAAAGATTTCGTATAGAGCAGACAGTGATTCAGTGTTCTCGCCGGTAGTCTTTACCTCCTGACGCACGAACTCTCTGACCACTTGGCTCCAAACTGAACGGTCCATCGTCGAGGCTATGATGAGAGCATGGGACCATAGTCGGTTGTCCATGGCATGAAACACAGCCGCCTGTCGGTCACCGCTGAGCAGTCGCTTTCGTAGATTCTCAACTGCCATCGGGTCCACGGAGTCAGGACGCACATTTGCACCTGGAGGTCTGTAAATCCCAGAGACCTGTTCGCCCTCGCGATATTGGATTGGACTTGACAGGTCCACATTATGGACCTCTGGTGAGAGCAGGAGGTTGATTGCCTGCAGCGCTGTTCCATCAAGCGAACCATCGTGTTCCACCAGAGCACGGACGATCTTCCAGAGTAATATCTTTTCATGATGTCGTGTGACCGGATCATCATGAGAGGCAACGTGAACGACAGTTGGTGTGTCCACCTCCATAGCATTTATGTAATTTGCCATCCATGATAACACATCTTTCTTCTTCGATTTAGTTCGCAGCGGACCAGGAAATTGATTCCAAAGTTCCGCCGACGGAAGAACATCTTTGAGGTTTTGTATGGACACTCCTCCGGCCATAGGCTTCATCTGAGGCCGTGCAGCACCGGTCGCGTATCTGGGCACGAGCTTTGGAAAGGTGCTCACAACGGTGCCACCAAAGCCAAATCTAAACAACGGAGCACCCTTCCAGCGCTCTAGAGGATCGAATTGAGTATCATCTTGGGGGCGTACGAATTCTGTTTCTGGAGCTAACCCTCGAGCTCGAACACCGGGCTTGACGGCCTGAACGTGCTCTAATGGCGCAACAGTTTTGCCGGGTGGTGGTTGTCCATACGCAGAAGCTGGACGGTTGATGATGTCGCTCGGATAACTTGGAAACATTCCTTGTGGGCGTTGTTTAGATGGAGACTGAGTTTGTGATCGTCGTGGAGGAGGTAGTCGTTCACTATTGGGTCGTGCAGATGCTTGATGTGAGTCTGGCAAGCCACCACGTTCAGGGGAAGTCACTGGGTATGGCGCCGTGGTAACAGGAGGTGAGAACTGATTTGGAGGTGCAGATGGGGGTGAAGTTTGCATGACTGAAGTTGCCACATGGTCGACAGTTTCATCCACTGAACTTTTGTGGTATGCAAGTGGACTTGAGGTCCGAGGTTGAAAAGGCAGGATGACGGGCCCAGTATGTGGATGTTGCGTTAGAGGTTTATTTGGCAATGCTGTCGTACTTTGAAAGGACGCAGGGGGTGGCGTCGGTTGCGCTGCATACCTCGCCGCAGTTGTAGTTGCAGCTTGTGGGGGAGGCGCTGGAGAATATCGAGGGGAGGGCCCGGGCCGAGGGCCTAGAGTAGACGTGACAGGTGCCGGTGAATATCTGGCAGTCGTAGCAGCTGGTACAGGAGGAGGTTGTAGCGGGACATTTGCGTAAGGATCCAATCGTTCGGGTGGTCTCAATTGATACTGTGAATAGGGATCAGACGGTGCAAGGGGAGAAGTCTGCTGTTGAACTGGTGGAGGAGCAGTGGGTGGGCTTTGTGTCGGCATTGGCGGATGGGCGGTCATGCTATGTTGAGGAGTGTGGCGGCCACTGTGTCGGGGCCTTGTCGCTAACGGCAATTCTTCAAAGAAGCCTGAAGAGGAACCAGACGTCGGTGGCTCGGTCTTGCTAGGGGTAAATGCAGACACGCTTCGTGGAGGCATGGCGGGTGACGGTGCTGGGGGTGGCATAACACCAGGCCCTGGCATTGGCGGATTGTTCGGGTGAAAAGGTGATTGCAGGGGCTTTTCTGACAGACTGCTACTCCTCGGTGGAGGTGCAACAGATCTTGTTGTCTGCACAGGCTGCGGAACGTGGGCTCTCTTTCTTGATTTGCTGAGTTCTAGGGGCAGATCGTACGGAGATTTATACCCGTCTTTTGCCTGATCAACAAAGCTCTTGACATTCTGAGACTGCTGTTCCTGCTGGAGCTGGGCTTGGAAAGAACCCATCGGAGCTAGTTCAGGGCGCGACAGTCCAACATTGTTATGCGTGGTGCGGGCTGTAGGAGACAACTGCAGCATGTCGGAAGTGGAGGGTTGATGAGGCGCGTAGGGGTTGGCCGAGCTCTGCCTTTGAGCTTGGAGGCGTTGTTGAGGTGCTGCACTGGGCACTGGCTCCGTGGTTGCAGGTACACTGGACACTGTTGAGGCGTCCTGTAAAGATGCAATGAAAGAGGATGGCGATCCAGGCTCAGATTCAGGAAGCAGGTCGTCCGCATCTTCTACTAAGAACTCCTCGTCACCAAGTGCTTCTGCCCACATAGCGTCAACATCTTCGGTTTCTGGGATGACGGGCATCTTATCGTCCGGAGTAGATGTTGTCCCGGCGGCTAACTCGTCAAAGAAAGAGGCTTCGGCTGGTACTGGCATTGGCGGAGAATCCTTTGTATCATCAGCAGGCATGTCCAGTGCGTTCAAGACCTGAGCGGTGGACTTTCTGCCAAGAGAAGGGCTTTGTGGAGCAGTAGCTGAAAAGCCGTTCATGTTGGAAAAGAAGGCGGATTCTTCGTCATCTTGCGCCGCTTCAAAGGGATTTTGTCGCGATCCTTCGGCCAGCGCCCCGCCAACAGTAGGGCTCGTCCCATCTGCTTGAATAAGCGGTATGCCCTCCTCGAAGCGCAGCGCCTCTTCATTGACTGTTTCCCCTTTAGATGGGATGGTCCACGACTGGGGGTCGCGCGATCCATCATGCTCATCGTTCATCCAAGATAGACTCTGGGGCTCCGTGGCTCCGCTTTCTTTTTGTGCCGTCTCGCCAGCTTCTGTAGTGCCATTGACGGTCCCAAGGTCCATTCCATTCTCCGTCACGTCGATATCGGGTTGACCTTTTGTAGTCTCCGGTAGTTCAAACTCGGGGAATGTTGTAGAGCGATGAACTTTGTCAAGAATATGGCTGCTGTCCAGTCGTTGTATTCCCCAAGGGGGATCCAATCTCTCATCATCATCATCGGACGGCAGTTCATCGCTTCCAAGGCTTCCGCCTGAAGGCTGAGAGGACCAGGTTGCATGCGGTCCCTGCCCGTTCAGCAGTGTGGCGCCCGGCACAACCGTTATAGGCTTATCTTCAACGCTTGGCTGTGTATTTCTATCTTCCACCAAGGAAGGGAGGTCTCCATCTTGTCGTGAGGAAGGTCTTGCGGGGATCACAGTCGTCGACATACGGTCAGATGTTTTCACATCGACGTTTCTACTCGAAGGTCTGGACGCATTCGATTCGCTGCGGACCTCATCGATGGTGTCTGGTCGCAGAGCTGGGAACCAGTGACCTGATTGCGTAGGTTGACTCAACCCTCGAGAGCCTGCTTCATCGTGGATGGCTCCGTCCATTGCGAGTCCGAAAAAATGACGATACTAATCCCGGTCAGCAGAGAGCAGGGGGCTCGATCGTTATCCTGACACACACATGTACAACTAATTAGTAACGCCTTTGATACATGGCGCAAGTGCAACCCTATACACGGGACGAAATAGCTGTTTCGAACCGTGAAAGGAGCTAGGGAGAGTTTGACGGGTGCTGGAGTGACGGGAGAAATTGTGAAGTGAAGGCCAGTTTGTTCCATCGTCGGGATCGCGACGCCCGTCCACCTCTCAACCCACGTGACCTCGCGCCGCCTTAACCCTACGGGAGTCAGTCGGTCTTGATGCAGTGCCTTTGTACCCTTAGCTGAAGAGAGTTAGTTCGCAGGAATAGTTCCACGCCCCTTCTAACATCTCAATAGCTTTCTGTGATTTGCGGATACGATTTCTCAACGAAGGTGCTACGATTGCGACCCATACATTGGCGACTCACGTCTCTTCATCGACAGACAGACGCCTGCACAGCCCTGGAGGAATTTATGTCAGTTGTCACATGACCATGCTAGTCACGGTTCTCTCTTTTTCTAAGAGTTAGAGAATCAAATGTATTGAATTAAGGATATTGCGGCCTACGCTCAGCCGTCATCACGACGCATTTTGCCTTGTTGTTCGCTCAGATACTACATCAATTGTCCTTGGCTAACGTCGTCACTAGCTCAGGCGGTCAGCTTATACCAGAAGTCAGTGCTATCTCCTTCAGACTAATCTCCTCCACCCTTCCATGTTAGCATGACACTATCTAGCCTGAAGCACTCGTTGTCAATGTCTGCCTCAATCAACCAGCCCTCGCCGTAGACACACCCTATGATTAGGTCGTCACCAGGGACTCCTTCTTCTGTCTTCAGGTGAAGTAAGGCGCCATATAGTCCAATCACTCCCTTCATTCGCATTGTCAGGTCCGGTATCGTATCCGGATGCTTCAGTGAATGTACCCTTTGATACGTAGCTACAACAAGCAAGGAATTATTGAAAATCAGAACTACAATCTTGTCACGATGAAGGTCTACAGTGAGAGAGGATCAAATTTGGCTTGTGAACGCAATTCACATGTTGAACTTCGATGTGCAGTGGGCGACCAGTAGACTGATTGGCCAAAACGCAATGGAGATGGGCAGTTCGCCCACCAACCTATGAGAGGCTAAAAGCAGCGGGCTCTATTTAGGGACCCATAGCCCCTTGGAACCCTGGCCCAGAGCGCGGCTCGGCGCGCCTCTTCCATCACTTGCTCGGGCCAGAATGTCTTGTCATATCTTCCTCCGACAAGGCATCCGTATTATTTCTCCTGTTCAACGTTGTTCACCCTTCGTTGACTGATTGTTTCTCATTGCTCTCTAAATATCTGAACGGCCCTACGTGTACCGTCCGAAACATCCAGGGTCTGCGGCCGCCTTGAATATCCCTCAGCCAATCTTCCGAATCCCTCCCGTCGCTTGAGATACACCTGAGGATGATCGAGGAAGAGCATGTCTCCTCCCAATCCCACGCTCGCGGCCGGAGACATAGACTCTGCCTCCGATGATGACCTCGATCTCGACGAACTAGACCCTATTGTTCATTCGCCCCGTCGCTCAAGATCCAACGCTCCGCCTGAGACTAGAGCCCGCCGCCCAGTAAACGGTTCCACAAACATTGCGCTGCAAAGACTCCAGAGGTACGGCAGCAGCCGCTTATGGCCATCTGCAGGAAAGCGGGGTGTAGGAGACGATGGCACAGAAGATACCGAAGGTCTTCTGGGCAGCTGGCCTGGACACACACGAGGCAATGGTCATGTGAGACTGTGGTCGGAAGACCAAGTCGGCTGGAATGTCAGGCCGGAAAGATACCAGAGAGTTGGTGGACAAGACAACCCTCAGGGTCGGGAGGTGCCCTCTCGCCGCTCCAGCATTCGCCAGAGTATGCAAATATCAGACTTTGTCAGACAAGAATTGGCGGACATGCGTGATAATGAGCAGGAATTCAGCGGGCAGGAATCCCGCGAGGTCAACGTCGGGCAAACTCAGAAGAAGCGATTTCCCACGAATGTCGTGTCCAATGCCAAATACACCGCCTGGTCCTTCTTGCCGCGAACATTGTACAACGAATTTTCCTTCTTCCTCAACGTCTACTTCCTCCTTGTCGCCTTGTCTCAAATTATACCCTTCTTGCGAATCGGTTACATGTCTACATACATTGTGCCTTTGGCGGTGGTTCTTACAATTTCGATTGGGAAAGAAGCAATAGACGATATCGTGCGGCGGCGACGAGATGCAGAAGCAAACGCCGAACTATTCACTGTGTTGTCCTTCTCCGATACAGCCCGGGATGGTGTGTTGGAGGTCCAGAAGCGGTCGCGAGATATCAAAGTCGGTGACGTTCTGAAACTTGAGAAGAACCACAGGGTTCCTGCGGATCTGGTCATCCTTCAGAGTCATCTAACGGAGCTGACGGTCGATGCGGGCTCTGATTCTACAGCTGCTCCTCCAGCTCAGGCTGCAGGGGAAACCTTCATTAGGACCGATCAGCTAGATGGAGAGACTGACTGGAAGCTACGGCTCCCGAGCCCGTTGAGTCAAAATCTCAACCTGAAAGATCTGCAACGACTCAAGGTCACCGCTGGCGCTCCAGACAAGAAAGTCAATGAATTCGTAGGGACTTTGGAGCTTCAACCAAATCTGGCGCCAGCTTACGATCCCCATGTGCTCAAGGATGACCGTGCAGAAGACGGCACAAGCTCAACCGACTCGGAACACACCGCGGTTAACAGGCAGCAATCGGCACCCTTGACTATTGACAATACGGCATGGGCCAACACGGTGTTGGCCTCTAGCACTATAACATATGGCGTGGTCATCTACACGGGCAAACAGACTCGATCTGCTCTCTCCACGTCACCATCGAGGTCAAAAACTGGTCTTTTGGAACTGGAAATCAACAACTTGACCAAAATCCTCTGTATCATGACCCTAACCCTTTCCATCATTCTTGTCGCCCTCGAAGGGTTTGAGCCATCCAACAAGAAGCCATGGTATGTGGCAATTACGATTTATCTGATTCTGTTTTCGACAATCATTCCAATCAGTCTACGCGTGAATCTTGACATGGCCAAATCGGTGTATGCTTATTTCATTCACCAGGACAAAGGGATTCCAGGCACAGTCGTCCGTACCAGTACTATCCCCGAAGATCTAGGCCGAATAGAGTACCTGCTCTCTGACAAGACTGGCACACTCACCCAGAATGAGATGCAACTTCGGAAGATACATGTTGGTACAGTTGCATATGCAGGAGAGGCGATGGAAGAAGTCGCAGCATATGTTGATCAAGCATTCGCAGCTGATGGCAGCCGAGATGTGCATATCTCAGAGCTGGGCGCAGCGACGAAAACCCGACGAGAGATTGGCGTCCGTGTCCGCGATCTCGTACTCGCCCTTGCGCTATGCCACAATGTTACGCCTACTGCGGACGAGGTTGACGGAGAAAGAGTAGTGTCCTATCAGGCATCATCCCCTGACGAGATTGCCATTGTCGAGTTCACTGAAAGCGTGGGTCTACGTCTCCTTCAGCGCGACAGGGAGAATATTGTTCTCCAAAGTGTCTCTACAAAGCAGGTGGTCATCCGAGCAGAGATCAAAGATATCTTCCCTTTCACTTCCGACAGCAAGCGCATGGGTATCATCGTGCACCTCTCTTCAGAGGTACCCGGACTGTCGCATATAGATGAACTGTGGTTCTTCCAAAAAGGCGCAGACACGGTGATGAGTGCCATTGTGGCAGCAAATGATTGGCTGGACGAGGAAACGGCCAACATGGCGCGTGAAGGGCTTCGGACACTGGTCGTAGGCCGCAAAAAGCTGTCGCCAGAGCAATACAGGAACTTCGCTTCCGAGTATGCGGATGCATCATTGGCATTGCATGATCGAGACGCACGAATGGCTGCAGTTGTCCAGAAGCACCTCGAGCATGATCTCGAGCTTTTGGGCGTCACGGGGGTTGAAGACCGACTGCAAAAGGATGTCAAGCCCTCTCTCGAACTGCTTCGTAACGCTGGCGTCAAGATATGGATGCTGACGGGTGACAAGATCGAGACAGCGCGGTGCGTGGCAATTTCTGCTCGGTTGGTCGCACGAGGCCAGCATATCCATACAATGGCCAAGTTGAAAGCTAAAGCGCAGGGTAAGGACGCGTTGGATGTGTTACGCAACCAGACTGACACATGTCTGCTCATCGACGGCGAGTCGTTGGCTCTCATGCTCAGCCAATTCCGACATGAATTCATCACCATAGCGGTGCAGTTGCCTGCAGTGATTGCCTGTCGCTGTTCGCCAGCGCAGAAAGCTGACGTCGCGCACTTGATTCGCAAACACACCAAGAAGCGCGTGTGCTGCATTGGGGATGGTGGCAACGACGTCAGCATGATCCAAGCTGCCGATGTCGGCATTGGGATCGTCGGCAAAGAAGGACGACAGGCTTCACTGGCGGCCGATTTCAGCATTGAGCAGTTCTGCTATCTGACCAAGTTGCTAGTGTGGCACGGCCGCAACAGCTACAAACGGTCTGCAAAGTTGGCTCAATTTATCATTCACCGGGGATTGATCATCAGCGTATGTCAGACGATGTACAACATCGCTGGACACTTCGACCCCAAGGGCCTCTTCAAGGATTGGCTGATGGTTGGGTATGCCACTGTTTACACCATGGCCCCTGTCTTCTCTCTTGTGCTCGATCGAGACGTCGACGAGCAAGTCGCCAATCTCTATCCCGAATTATACAAAGAACTCAAGTCAGGAAAGAGCTTGAGCTATCAGACTTTCTTCACCTGGGTGTTGGTGTCGGTCTATCAGGGGATTATTATCCAGGGTCTGTCGCAACTTCTCGTCGGGGAAGTTGACGGGCCTCGCATGCTCAGTGTCAGCTTCACCGTCCTGGTTCTGAATGAGCTTATCATGGTTGCTGTATCGGTTACGACCTGGCACCCTATCATGATTGTTTGT